GCAAAGTCTGCTTTCATCTAATCACTCTGCTTCAGAGCAAACCAGCTCTGAAACCTCAGTTTTTCAAAAGGCAGCTTTATGACACGCTTTTTAATCTATGATAATACCAGATGGCTTAAAACGCCATTTGTTAGAAATATGACTTTGCAGGGGTGGGGGGGAACACCACAAAAACAGACCAAAAAACCAAACCAACATCACCTAATATCACATTTAGAAGGTTGTTAATTTGCCTCTTCTGCTCTTGGGACTAACCTGGAGACATCAGGAGTACCTTTTTTATGCCTTAGTATTGCGTAGGAAAATTCTTTGACACTTCCCTTGGGTTGTGACTCCAGCTTGTGCCATCCTCTATCATCCCCCTGGAACAAAATGAAGCCTGGTATTCTGGCCATGCAGATACAAACTTGAATTATGGCAGACTTAAAATCAGAGAACCACAAAAACATACCAGTAATTTTTATACAATTGTTTTCTTACAAGTGACAGATGACTAAAAAATCCAGGGAAGCAGAGAACTACAAATCATAGGAGTTCACAACTTCATCACTTTTGGTCTATGAAAGAAAGCATTGGGAACAAGTGAAATAAACTCCTGTATTTTTTCATACTTTCCTGGGGTGATCCCAGGAAATTCCAGGCTGTTCCTTATTTATCCTCTGTGGTCCACATTTCCCCTCAACACAGCATCTGTTTACAGATCCTTGATCATTTTTAATAAGCAATGTCTAGAAAAACTGAGCAGCAGTTTGTCCACCCTGCTTACACACAACAAAACCCTCATTCTCTCTCAGTCTGCTTATGCAGAACTTACTTAAAACAAAACAAAATACAGAAGAAGAGCTTTTAAATAAAAATACTGAAAGTTAATCCACATGAGGTCTTGCTTAAGAAAGTGGGGAAAGAGGGAGGACTCAGCTGCCTTCTTAAGTGAAGGGTTACTGTTTGACAGAATTTATTCAATCATTAGACAGTGATTTTTTCCCCTTTTCCTAAGCTATAGGAACATTACAAAACACAATAGAAAAGGATTTACACTCGTCACGTGCCTCATTATTTAGGGATCTGGCATTGCCACCAGTATTTAATATTATCCAGTATGCAACCTTCTAAGATGTCTTTTCAGATTCTTGTCACTAAATGCCTGTGAAGCAGGCATCATACATGCATCCTGACAGGAATTAATTATTCTGCATTGTTCACAGGGTTTGGAAGCTAATAAACCTGTAAAATCACCACTGAATGAGGAGGTAAGTAGTACATGCTCAGTAACTAAATGTGGCAATGGACCTATGGGGGACACAGTATGCGTCCATACAGCTAATGAGCACTTTGTCAATGCACAACAGAGGCAGGTTAAATTTGTAGCAGCCACATTAATTTACTCATTAGCTTTTGACCCATGTGCAATTTTAAAGGTTTTCCGCGCCCCCCCCCCCGTACAAAATGAGTACAGCTGTATAGCCACGTAGGTAAAAGGTTTTAACAGTTAACTCTTATTTTGGGAGACTGTTTTCTATATTAGTTATATTCACTGGTAGAGAAAAAAAACTCACGGAACAAATTAAGATATTTATTTATGTATTGTTACAAATTTGTGGGTTTTTTCATTAAACATATTTAACAGGATGACCTATTTGCACTCAGGCCTTTCAGCATTTTGAAAAGCTAAAATACTCACTTTTGGTGCCATACAAATTATGGTCAAAAATAATTTTCAAAGACATACTGAGGGGTTAAGAACTTTAAGCAAAAAAAACTCAAGTTGAAATAGTCAATTCCCTTCAACAGTGGTTTCTATTTCATGAGGTTATATTCTTTACACTAGCCAACTATATACAAACAATACCACAAAACTACTATAAATGCAAAAATGTAAAAAATATACACATATACACAAATTGCTGTGTTTGTCTGAGCTACCTTACTATTAAGAAATCCAGTACAAATGCAATATTTCTATGTACTTAATTTTTAGTATTTAGTTTTTTAATTGTAAACAGGATTCAGCATGTAGAGCAACTTAAAACAGTTGTCAGAAGCATAATTCATGATGTCTGGAGACAGAGAACTACCCACACTAGGGAACCAAACTGACATAAATTCCCACACCTTTTCTGACAACACTTATACTGCTGAGAGATTTAGGGGATTTAAAATATTTAGAAGTATTTAATTACCCTAACCAAATTCTTGGATTCTACTGTTTTACAAAATGCATACATTTCAATATTTAAAGTAGAATCAGTATCCCATTCGCAGGTATACGGATCACGTTCAGTAAAAGTGTCTTGTTTGTAACCATTTAACAATGTTTTGGTTTATTAAGAAACTTTTCTTGGCAACTCAATTAAACAAATGTCAATGACAGCAAGCCATCTATGTTCACAGTCAATCACTTAAAGAGAAAATAAAACCAGACACATCCCTTAACCACATACGAACTCCGTAGTGATGGACCGAATGCTTATCGTTAGGCAAGCACACCCAGGGTACTCCGCACTGCTAACAAGCCGCAGTATTTAGGGACTGTCAACAAATATTGGAAAGAAAATGGAAACTGCCTATGTATGGATGAGTGCTGCTGTCAGTCAATGCTAAGATTCTTATGAAGCATGGGATCTGTTTTGTTTTTTCAAAAAAGATAGCTGTCTTTCTTCAGGGACTTCCCTTGAGGCATTCATTAATATATTATTTGAATTGCCAGGATACTTAAGAAAACCCAGGATGACAGTTCTGTTTATGAGGACAGTATCGGAGTAAGTACTAGTAGTAGCAGTAGTAGTGTTAGTTGGTTCAACAGTGGAGAATTTGAACATAGACATGGACTGTGCCAGTTTACATCCACTACAAATATGAAAGTGCTAATATCTATAGCAACTGATTTCAGTGGAAAATTCAAGTACAACGATATTTTTGCAGATCTCCTCATGCTCAGAGAGAATACAGTAATGTATCCATAGGCTTCCATTTCCAGGAAATATGTCCAGAGTCAAATCTCATTTTAGGTGTTTTTTAAGTGCTTGAAAACTCTTACAGTATTGAGCAGAGCATCTGATGAACCCCTTCTCATACATGATATACACATTTTGATTTAAAACACAAGCCACTCCATACAAGACACATTTTGAAAACTAGTTCCTAAAATGTAAAGGCTAGTCTGGTGAGTTTTGGGGGTTTGGGTTTTGGAGTTTTTTAAGCATTTTACACACTGCAAGATCATGTCAACTCAAAAACAATGCAAAATATACATCAAAAACTAAGAAACTGCTTGTAAAAATGTTGGGAAAAATGTAAATCAATTTCAATGAAAAGGCTCAATAAAGTGCAAGCAGTAAATGCAAAGGTTTACATAGTGAAAAGTAAAGTTTAATTATTTTGTACAATACGTATTGCTGACAATGAGAGACACTATAAAAATGCTTTACCTTGACAGCATGCCCTCATATAAAAATATATTCTAATTGCATTGCAGTACAACCAGACCATGACAGAACTGAAAATGAAATGAACACTGAAATGCAACCACTCCTTTTCAGCAAGTTCAAAAAAAGGAAGAAAGTATGCAGATTTTTACTATTACAGTATACTTCAATTATCTGGATAAACTGGACCAGCCAAAATTACACAGTACAGTAATTGCAAATGAAAATGATGCGTTGCTACTTACTTGCATTGACTCATGGCCATTTCTTGTGAAGGCATTCAGGAGGTGCCAAACTGCAAACATGGAACTCATTCCTGTGCAAAACGCTCAATACTGTGACCTCTCACTAAAGCAGAGCTCTCTAATTACTGGACAAAAGTATAAACCGCAGCAAGTATTTTTACATCAGAAAATAATTTGTGTCATTAAATCGGCATTAAATCTCCTTTTAACTTAAGCTACCAGGTCCTCAAAGTGTACCACAACTTAGATGATTCCAGTAAACGAAAATAAAACTATCTAGTATCACTTGTCACCCAATGCAAGTATTTGTTTGTAACTGGAGTTTTGTTTTATGAAAAATAATAAAGCAGTCTGCAAAAGTCTTCCCAGCAGAGGGGACATTTTCAAATCATTTACCCTCCAGTCAGATTCTTTGGCATTCAGGAATAGCTAGCATAACATCAGGATTATCAAGCAGTGACTATTTTCCTTCATAGACTCCTGTTTGTCCTGTAAGGCCCAGCAGCAAAGTTTTTGCTATTGGCAGGTATTAAAAGAGGGAACTCCTTCCTCGTCACCCATACAGAGTGAAGTCTGATCAAGAGCATCTGATACCTCTTTCAGTGGAGATTTTCCACACACCATTTATTTACAGAATCTCCATTTAGGATAAGCACAGGTTATGACAAAGTCATCCAAAGTGTTAAGCTGCTGAGATTCAAAATTAGTATTTGTCTGTTTAGAATAGTCTTTACTTTTTATCCTTCAGTTTTTGCTAATATC